TATAATATATATATATATATATATATATATATAGTGTGTATGTAACGAGGCTAAGAATACAATTCTTTGGTAGATAACTTTCGGAAAAGCGTCAAATCAAGGATCAGCTAGAGATAGTATAAGCCAGTTTGGTGTAGAACTTTATTCTAAATGTGAAATTTTCGGTGATGTGCTGTCACCTTCATCAGCACCTAAATGGAAAACCTATTTAGTACAAGTGGTGGAAATCAACATTTAAAAACCTACATTGAAAACGTTCAGTTGGTCCTAGTGGTGAAGAATACTGTCACAAACATGTTAAAAATATTAAAACATACATTTAAAACTTTAAATAAAAACATTACAACACAACAGGATATTTTTTCAAATACAAACACAACAAAAAAAATCTAAAATTTAAAAACCTACAAAAACCGCAACTTCATGTTAAAGTTAATTACTATTAAACTGGGAATAAGCCACAATTAAAGATAAAAATACGTTTATTGACGTTTCAATTTCCACTTCGGAAATCGTTCTCAAAATACAAACAGTAAATTAAACAAATTTTGTTTTTTGTTACATAGTGAAAAATTCTTCTAATAATTTAATTTTATCTGACTCATTTATATTGACAATTCAGACATACATTACGCATTTTAAAGTAGACGACTTTAAAATGATATTGCCAATATTGCCTGGGACGACTTTACTTATAAGATTGTTCATTCGATTACATGAAATCAACTTTAACTTGAGAATATCCGTCAGAAAAAAATCATAGCATGTAATTCGTCTTTAAAAAGACAAACACATGACATGATGACAGTAAAATTCTCCTGTTAGTGATTCCATAGTAAATTATGAGGGAAAAACCAGGAAAAAAACCTCATAATACTATCCCGACATTGTAAGTATTTGGTCGTGAATTTAGTTTACCTTCAACAAACATCAAAATTCTGATTTTATACGTTACGTTATTTAAAAAATATAAATGATGTATCCTCTATATGTTACTGACTTACTAATACTGGTATTTTCTTATTAATAACTTCCTCTTTCAATATTGGTAACCAGATCCTACTACATTCTGCCGAGGAATTTGCGACACAATTGGCCTCATTTAGCATAATTAGAGCCGCTTCTTTGATTTTTCTTTTTTTACCATCCGTTTCTTTTAGGACTACATTTGAATTATTCCATTGAACCCTATGTTCATTATCCCATGCGTGTTTACAGATTTGAGATCTATCAAATTCCCTATTTTTAATATAAGATTGATGTTCACTTATTCTAACATTTAATGGCCTTGATGATTCACCTAAATAAAACTGATCGCATTCACAAGGTATTTTATAAATGCAAGTCTTTGTCCTGTCTTGTTCATTGTTAGGTTTGGTTTTGGACAAAATAGATCTCAACGTGTTTGTTGTTTTGAATGTTGTTGAAATGTTGAATTTATTTCCTATCCTTTTAAGTTTTTCTGATAGTCCTTTTATGTACGGTATTTTTATTTTCCTCATATTATTCCTTGTGTATGCTGTAGGATCTCGTTTAACATTTACCATGGAAAAGGAGTATAATATCACGCTACCTTTCCTGGATGTTTTAATCTCTAAGAGCGATACTGGATATGAGACTCAGGTGTATAGAAAACCAACACACACCAATAGATATTTAAATTTCAAATCAAATCACAATATTAATGTAAAAAAGGGAATAATTAAATCCTTATACGATAGAGCCAATATTACTTGTTCTAACGAAAATTCGTTCTTGGAGGAGAAACATTTGTTAACTTCTGTTTTATTAAAAAATGATTATCCTTTATCGTTTATAAATAAGGAATTTTCAACAATCGATCGAATAGAACAGAACAACTTAGAACGAGATCCTACAGCATACACAAGGAATAATATGAGGAAAATAACAATACCGTACATAAAAGGACTATCAGAAAAACTTAAAAGGATAGGAAATAAATTCAACATTTCAACAACATTCAAAACAACAAACACGTTGAGATCTATTTTGTCCAAAACCAAACCTAACAATGAATAAGAAAGGACAAAGAATTGCATTTATAAAATACCTTGTGAATGCGATCAGTTTTATTTAGGTGAATCATCAAGGCCATTAAATGTTAGAATAAGTGAACATCAATCTTATATTAAAAATAGGGAATTTGATAGATCTCAAATCTGTAAACACGCATGGGATAATGAACATAGGGTTCAATGGAATAATTCAAATGTAGTCCTAAAAGAAACGGATGGTAAAAAAAGAAAAATCAAAGAAGCGGCTCTAATTATGCTAAATGAGGCCAATTGTGTCGCAAATTCCTCGGCAGAATGTAGTAGGATCTGGTTACCAATATTGAAAGAGGAAGTTATTAATAAGAAAATACCAGTATTAGTAAGTCAGTAACATATAGAGGATACATCATTTATATTTTTTAAATAACGTAACATATAAAATCAGAATTTTGATGTTTGTTGAAGGTAAACTAAATTCACGACCAAATACTTACAATGTCGGGATAGTATTATGAGGTTTTTTTCCTGGTTTTTCCCTCATAATTTACTGTCATCATGTCATGTGTTTGTCTTTTTAAAGACGAATTACATGCTATGATTTTTTTCTGACGGATATTCTCAAGTTAAAGTTGATTTCATGTAATCGAATGAACTATCTTATAAGTAAAGTCGTCCCAGGCAATATTGGCAATATCATTTTAAAGTCGTCTACTTTAAAATGCATAATGTATGTCTGAATTGTCAATATAAATGAGTCAGATAAAATTAAATTATTAGAAGAATCTTTCACTATGTAACAAAAAACAAAATTTGTTTAATTTACTGTTTGTATTTTGAGAACGATTTCCGAAGTGGTAATTGAAACGTCAATAAACGTATTTTTTATCTTTAATTGTGGCTTATTCCCAGTTTAATAGTAATTAACTTTAACATGAAGTTGCGGTTTTTGTAGGTTTTTAAATTTTAGATTTTTTTGTTGTGTTTGTATTTGAAAAAATATCCTGTTGTGTTGTAATTTTTTATTTAAAGTTTTAAATGTATGTTTTAATATTTTTAACATGTTTGTGACAGTATTCTTCACCACTAGGACCAACTGAACGTTTTCAATGTAGGTTTTTAAATGTTGATTTCCACCACTTGTACTAAATAGGTTTTCCATTTAGGTGCTGATGAAGGTGACAGCACATCAGCGAAAATTTCACATTTAGAATAAAGTTCTACACCAAACTGGCTTATACTATCTCTAGCTGATCCTTGATTTGACGCAGTTTAATAGTAATTAATTTACAATGCCACAAGAAAATAGCTTCAGAACAATATTTCATGTTAAACGTCGAAAAGAAGAATTATTCTTCTTTTTTCAGAAGAAACATACACTTCCACACAAGAGCCACATGGAATAGAATACACTACATTGAAGTTATCCAGTTTTTTAACTCTTTCTGTCAGGTGAGTAAAGTATGTCCCTAATCTTTTGTACACTAAATTTGTTATTACTATGTTGAACTGTCTGAAAAGGTTTGTGATCTGTGGTGATAAACCCCTGATGTAAGGCAATCTCCCATAGAAAAGTTTTACTGTTTCTCCTTCTAATATTTGTCTTTGGTGTGTCCTACTGTTGGCATATCTTGGAAGAGCAGTTTATTAAAAAGCATCTTAGGATAGTGATTTTTTCTAAGAATCTCATGAAGTAACTTGATGTTCTTATTGTAGTTAGAAGGGTGACAAATTCTTTTTATTCTGTTTTTCAAACCTTTGATGATGTTAACCTTCTGCTCGTCTGGATGATACGAGTGAAAAGGCACATATCTACCTGAGAATGTTTTCTTTCTGTACCAATCCAACCTTACTGTGTTGTCCTCATGTTTGGTTACATAGGTGTCAAGGAATGGCACAATATTATTTTCTTCTGTTTCAACAGTAAATTGTAGGTGAGTGTTATATGAGTTAAAAATGTTAAGAGTGTAGTTGATTTTTTCAGCAGGAACTGCACATATGAGGTCGTCTACCTATTGGTAAATAAAGGGGAACTGAAAATCAACTTCTTGAGTACAGTAGTGAAGTAGGGAGTTCATTACAATTTCTGCCAAAGATGGGGATATAGATCCACCCATGGGTGCTCCTTTTATTTGGACATAGAATTTATTTTGGAAAGTGAAATATGTATTGTTGTATAAAAAGGTAATCAGTTTCAGGAACAAAACTTTGGGAATTGTACAGTTCTGTTCAATAAGATGTTAATTAGTTGTCAGAATAGAAACTACCAATTCGAGAGGGATGTTGGTAAACAAGGAAGTAACATCAAAACTCACCAAGACATATCCTGAAGGTAGTAAAAATCCATTGATCTTATTTGCAAATTCAAAAGAATCTTTAATTTCGTAGGCATTATGGGAAGAAAAAGATGTGTCAATAATACCTGCCAGATATTTAACCAAGGATTGAGTGGGGGCATTCTTACATGCAATTATAGGACGTAGTGGGCAGCCTTCTTTGTGAATTTTTGGAACCCCAACATACTATGGACTTCCATATGTACTTATGCTATGGAAAATAAAATCTAGTTCCACATGTAATATATCCTTATTGAACCTAAACCCAAGAAACATTTATTTTATATTGAATATAATACTGTTCAGAAAACTCTCAAAACTACTATATATATATATATATATATATATATATATATATATATCTTGCGTTCTGTGATTCTGTTTTGTTGCTGATGTATATATTAGATTAATGTTTGCCTTATTTTGATGTTTCTTCAATTTAATAACGTTTTTATGCTACAGATCTTTTAAAGGTAAGATTATTTATTTAATTGTTTCTCATATTAGATGTATCGATAATAACACTCTTTTAGATGAACTGATGATGCTCATAAAACAGTGGACGAAACGTTTTCATTAAATAGATATGACACAAAAACATAAACATTTAACACAAAATGGTTCGGATTATTTTAATATGGAATTAACTTACAGAGCTGAAAATCAAATAGTAAAACACTTGACGACACTTAAAATACACTAAACAATTTCCTATGCATAAGAAAACATGTTAAAATATATTCATATCTAGTTGACGATACGACTAAACAATTATAATAAGGCATATCTAGAAATGTGACTAATGTGCAATTATAGTAAGGACGCCGTTGCAATTTTAACTCGAACAAAATAATGTAGATATGCAAAATATATGCTGCTGTAACTAAAAATTTAGCGAAAAAAATTAGATCAGAGCGAAGACCCATATCTGTTATGAAAATATAAGTTGAGGACATGATTTGACTGGATATTCAGTCAGCTATTAATTGAAGGAGTAAAATAAATAATGTAAAAATATTAAAATAGGAGGCAACATTCACAACAAAGTGACAAAAAAAATGAAAAAATTAAGAACCTATTTAAAAACTAGGTTCATATTTGAAGATTTAAAAAAATATAAGCTCATGAAAGTAAATAGAAAAGATTAGTTTGAAGTAAAACATTTATTATAAATTGATTCTCGATCGAACCTCCGAACAGTAAACATATCAGCAATTAGTTATATTTGATATCTAATATTAGCTTGTTAGTTTGGACAAAATAAGGAATTTTGATTCAAATGTAGAATTTTATTTATATCTAAAATTTAAACAAAGGTGCAGTGTAAAATTGTTACTTGTTCTGGACTAAAAACTGTAAGTTTGATTTTCCTATTTCATCTATAACAAATCAAGGGTAAACAGCTATTTTGCCGGTTTGGCGTGAGGTTAGTTACCAGTCCTTCCGGTAATGATCCATTAAAAGCATCAGGGCCATTTACAGGTTATTTAGCCCCAGCATGGAAATGTATTCAGCAACGGGAAATTTCACCATGAAAAGTTTTAGCAATCTATTTGTAAACCAACCATCAAAATTATATTCTACAGGTCTTAATCAACCTACAAATAAATTTCCAAACAAAAAACAAGCAATTCCACTTCACTCACTTTCATACTCTAATATGGAAATTAACCTTAATGCAGTAACTTATACAGTGGATTTTTAAAGTTATAAATTATCGTATTTGTATCTTCTTTACCAGTGAACAGACAGTCGATGATTTTCTAACAAACAACAATCGAATTGTAGTAATTAATCAAGAACGTATTCAAGCCCGAAGACTATAACTCCAAATGAACGATTTATTATTTCCAACGTATGTCCAAGTATTCCGCACAGCGTTATAGAAGTACAACAAAAAACTCAAGTATACATCTAATAACTCAAGCATATCTTGAGTTTTCGACGATACACTTGTATAGCGCCAACTAACTTAGACAAATTACCTGATTCTATGTTAATTAACCATGAGGATAACAAATATCGAATTTTCTTTTCCATTGAAAAGCAGTCTTGTTACTTATGCAAGCAGCAAGGACATTTTGCATCTCAGTGTCCGAATAAAAATGTGTGACGGGTAGCTCTTTCGGGGCGACAGACTCAGTAAGACACAGGTTAAAATAAAAATAAATCTATCAATTTAGCATATATACAAAAAATAAAAATAAAATGAAGTCTACGCCGTATATACAATAAATAAAAATAAAATGAATTTTACGTCGCTGTCTGGATCCCGCGATGAATGAACTCCCCGGCGAACCTCTATAAAAGAAAAAGAAATTATTATTACTAACAAAGAAATGGAATAGGTGAAGTCGATCGCACGCAGACTTATACTTGCTTCCGCTTCAATTCAGCGGAAGCTCCGAACGCACTCGCAAACAAAATATTCGGCCGTGCAGACCTACGGTGATGTTCAATTCACAATACCAAGGGGTTCTGCTTGGTTAAGGAGAGAGTGCGATCCTCAATACTGAAATCTCTCTGTCCGGGTTGGCTCGCAGGTTCACTACACCAGCGAGTCAGGGAGCCTAGAACGCTAGCTACAAGACCATCTAATTCCGTTACTCACGCGCCTTAAATAGCCGCTTCGAATCCCACTTCGTCATCTCTTCGTAGAACTGGATGCGCGAATATGGGCACTCCTACGGTTCGAACTGTTAAATGATCAGAACCCATAATAATGTTCATCTAAACTCTCTACAGTAAGTTCACTAATCAGCTCCCCTTTCGACAATTTCTTTTACACAATCCTCTCCTACTGAGACTGAAACTACAGCACAACAATCAACTCCTTTGTCGATAAATACCTCTACCCAATCCTCTCTTGCTGAGGCTGAAACTAGAAAAATCATTACCTCTCAATCAAATAGGCATACTCCGATAAACTGTGATTTACCCAATGAGCCCCAAATGGATACCTTTGATCAAGATACATAATCATCCCAAAACCCGAAACGAAACCTATCTGAAATAATATCCCTCCAATAAGATATAACGAAAGTGCCTTCGCTGAACCGAAACAACGAAGCAAAAAACCAAAAGCTTAACAAGAAAACAAGATAAACCTAGTAGAAGATCTTACCAAGCACCACTGCATTGACTGCACTAGTCAATTCTTCAAAGAAAACTCGTACAATGGATACTTAACACAAGAAGAACTTATTGACTTCTTTAAAAATGCGCATGGTTCTTTAGATCCCCTCACTGTTGCCAGAACTTACTCGAAGGATATCGAAGGATTGACAAACTTTCTAAAGAAAATACATTCTGTGTTAAGTCCAAGATATCTTAAATCCCGTTGTTCTAGAATTAAAAACAAAATTACAGAACAAATTTTAAGTAATATTTCTACGATGATTAAACTATTTTAATTGTATTATTTAATGGAACCTAAATGGGTACCATACCCATTTCTTCTTCAAGTGCCATCTTCGTTCCGAAGGTTGGCGATCATCAGGGCTATACGTATTTTCGAAACTGCTGACCGAAACAATTCGTTGTTGCTACAGCTATACCATTCCCGTAGATTTTTTAGCCAGGAGTTTCGTCTTCTTCTTATGGACATTTTTCCTGCTATTTTCCCTTGCATAATTATTCAAAGCAGTTCATATCTTTCGCCTCTTGTAATGTGTCCCAAGTATTGCAGTTTTCGTTTTTTGATCGTAAATATGACTTCCTTTTCTTCATTCATTCTTCTTAAGACCTCGACATTCTCAGGATTCTGCGATACATCCACAGTTCAAATGCCTCTAATTTTTTGGTATCAATATTTTTTAACGTCCATGACTCCATTCCGTAGAACAGCACAGAAAGTACGTAACATCTCATCAGGCGAAGTTTCACTTCAAGGCTCAAATCTCTTCCGAAGAACACTCTCTTCATTTTAGTGAATATGGATCTGGCTTTATCTATTCTTATTTTGATTTCTGCTGAGCTATCATTGTCTTAATTTATGAAAGTGCCTAAATATTTGTATTTGCTAACTCGATCGATAATTTTATTGTGTAAATATAAATTTTGGACATTTTGTGTTGATTTTGATATTACCATAAATTTAGTTTTCTTTATGTTCAAAGATAGTCCATATTCTCCGCTGCAGTCTGCTATCTTATTCACCAATGTCTGTAGCTCTTCAAGTGTTTCTGCGATCAGAACGGTGTCTTCAGCAAATCTCAGATTGTTTAATCTAACACCATTTATTTTAATACCTACGGATTGTTAAGAGAGTGTTCTATTCATTACGTCTTCGGAATTTAGATTAAACAGGGTTGGTGACGTATACACCCTTGTCTCTCACCTCGCTTTATTTCAATTTCTTCAGTGGTAGTATTCTCTACTCTCACTACTGCTTTCTGGTAGTACATATTTGCTATTAGTCGGATGTCTCGTTTATCTAAATTCTTTTCTGTCAGGAGTCTGATTAGGTGACCATGCCGCACTTTATCAAAGGCCTTGTTGTAATCTATGAAACACATGAATACATCTTGATTTATGTCAAGACATCTTTGAGACATAACGTTCAGTGCAAACAACGCCTCTCTTGTTCCGAGTCCATTTCGGAATCCAAACTGGGTATTATTGATGTCCATTTCCAGTTTTCTGTGTACTATAGGGTGTATAATTTTTAGGAATATTCTCAGTACATGGCTCATCAGACTGCTTATACGGTAATCACTACATTGTTTGGCATTTATCTTTTTTAGTATAATAACAAAGGTGGATAAAAGCCATTCTTGTGGTATTTTTTCTTATGTATGAATGCTATTGAAAAGTTCAACTAAAATGTGAATCGAGTCTTTTTCTATTAGTTTAAGGATTCCCATTGGTATTTCATCTGGACCTAGGGCTTTACCATTTTTCATTCTTTTTAGTGCGTACATTACTTCCTCTTCCGTTATTTCCGAACCTTCGTCTCCTTGAATGTTACTTAGCTCATATTGTTGTCTATCATCTGCAAAGAGTTCTTCAATATAGTTTTTCCATGTCCTTAACTGTTCTTCTGGTTCTGTTATTATGTTTCCGTTGACATTATACAGGATATTTGGCTACTTACGTTTTTGTGTACCTGCAAGTTCTTTCACTTTTATATGTACATTAAAAATATCATGTTTTGCCTGAAATTGCTCTATTTCTTCACATTTTCTTTTATAAAAATCTTCTTTTGCTATTCTGATTTCTATTTTGATTTCTTTCTGTATTTGTTTATACCTTTGTTCGTTTTTTCCTTTCATTATTTTCCGATTGTCCATGAGAAGAAGGATCCTATCAGTCATCCACCTTTGCTTTATTTTTGGTTTTTCTTTAATCAGAATTTTCTTCGCAGGACCTGTTATCGCCATTTTTACGTTTTGCCATTTTTTATCTATGCTGTTCGTTGGCTGAGATGTTTCTTTTTCATAAAGTATTTTCAAATTATTATTAATACATTTTTGCAGTTTCTCCTTTACCCATACCCATTTAGACGATCTTAAAATTCTTATAAATAAATTTCATCCATCGTTTCATCCACTTATTATTAGAGTATTCGTTGTACGCATTTAAAAGACAATATGAACAGTCACCTACAACAATAAAAGACATTCTAAGTGAAGATAGTGACCGCAATCGTACCATACCTTTTTTGGTTTCCTCAAGACTAATTAACAAAATCTAATTGTGTTCTTTATTTTTTTTATATTTATGTTATCTGTAAAA